ATACAAAATTGGACTTTTTCTACATATTACTTTTGATAATAAATATTGTGTTTTAGCATCTAACTCGTTCTTCACTTGTCCAACAATTATGTCTTTTACAAAGATTTTATTTGAATGAATTATATACAGATTCACTGAATACATCACCAGATCGATCTGATACAGTTAGAATTTCGAATTTATTTGACAAATTTTTATTAATTTTGATAAATAAATAGAAATATCGTGATATGATTTGGGAACTGCGACGAAATGCATTTGATACAGATTTATTATTATCTGATCAAAGTTGTCAAGATTTAAGTTTTCGAGTATCATCAGTAAATATAAATGATATTATTCCAATATCAACAATAAACCCTCGTCGAGTTGAAGCATTACAACATGATTATGAACGACTTGGATTTCAAGTAAAAATATTTCAAATAAAAAAAAAATTTAATTTTTTTTAGAATTTACCAGAACCAATAAAAGATTTTCAAATAATTCCATCCGGTTTTTTATCATTACAAAATTTATTCTATTTTTGTATTCATCAAACAAATGACATTATTTGAGTATATATTTAATTAACATGTTTCTCGTTATCTCTAATAATTTCAGTTTATAGTTTGTTCTTGAAAATTCGTGTAAAACCCTTCAACAACAATGTCTATTAGTTAAATCATCTATTGAAATAACACGAATACTTTGTACACTATTTCATATCAGTATTGAACGTAAATAATTTCTTTTAATTTCAATTTGAAAGAAAAAAATACCTTCCGTAGAAAATAGATATAAAATACATAAAGATTATTTTCTACTTTTTTTCAATAGATTTTTACTCAAAAGAAAAAAACAGAAACTCATTTCAACTATACAAAATGCATGAAAAAAAAATTTCATTTAACTTGGTATAAAATATGAAAACGAATGATAGAGAAAAAAAACAACTGAGTGTGATATATCATAAAAGCAAATTTTTTCACTCAACTTTATATATAATATCAAGATGATAGTAAGAAAATGAAATAGCTGATTCTAGTAAAACGAATACCCACAACGATTCACCCAACTTTGTATTTAATATGAAGATGATAGTACGAAAATAAAATAGCTGATAAAAATAACATGAATAAGCAAAATGATTTACTGAACTTCATATTTAATATGAAGATGATAGTAAGAAAATGAAATAGCTGATAAAAATAAAAAGAAAAAAAAAAAAAC